GACGGTTTACCTTCGAGCTAGCTCGTTTTCTGTCGATGCGAACTCGCGATGTGTTCAAACGTCATGGGCTACTGATCGACCAACTTCCACCAGGGCCAATCGGTTGGGATCTCTGCGACGACGAAAGGAGGAGGAAAACATGGAGGAGTGGAAGAGAGCAAAGAGTTTGAGCCAGATGACCTCTCCCAAAACGAAAAATGTAGGGCTAGGGAAGAACTGCCCAGAGATTCTTGTCAAAATGAGGATCAGAATGATGGTAGCGAAAACAAGGAGGAAAATGGTGAAAGTACTCCTAAACGAACTAGAGTACAAGGCAAGGTAGTCGTGTGTAGTTTTCTTCTGTTGCTGCTGTTTCTGTTTTTGATCCGAANGAACGAACTAGAGTATAAGGTAGCAGCCTTGGTAGGCGCGTGCAGTTTTCTTCTGTCGCTGCTGTTTATGTCTTTGATCCGAAGGACAGTCTAGCCTCCCCCATGCTGCCCCCTCACGGGGTCCCAGTTCATGGCAAATAGAAGTGTTTTGTGGTTTTAACCGCACTAAGACTGACGTCTTTTCATTGGTCAGTCGGTTAGCGCAGTCGATGCATATATCTAAGAAAAATACTAACGTGGTTGGCCATTCCGCCAGCGGGTGTACGTTGAAGACGTGGCCGTGGTGTAATGGTCTCAAGATATGCCATTTCCCGTTACTGCAGCCGAACTGGTGGGCGTGATACGCTGGAGACAAGCTCCAACCACTGCCCCGCGCGGAACTGACGCAATTCTGTTGCAAAACACAGCCCGGCCGGTCTCGTGTATCTCGTGTAATTGCTGGGTGTCCCTAAGTCATTTTCCAAAGCAATCAACACTTGGGGAAACCAGAACTCTCATTGCCCGGGTACCCGAGAAAAGCTGTCCCGCCCACACCTCGCTACCCCCGCGGAAGGACCGAAACGAGCGATTTTGGAAAGTTGCTTTATCTTGTGGGTAAGGGCTCACTTCAAGCAGATCATTTCCTCTCACCCTCTTGTCGTGAAGAATATCAACTGCCGCATGTAACGCTGTGCTGGTACGGCTCTTCGGCAGGGATTGCTGCAGCATCCTGTCCCCCCTGCAGAGCTCTGCTGCTTCTCTAGCCTACATGAAACAAATACAGAGGAAAGTGCGCTGCACGCGTCACTTACTACATTGGGGTTTAAGGCAAGGAGGGTCTGAGTGGCCGAAAGAAGGCGCACGGACGGAGCACCGCGTCGACCGCGGGTACGACATAAATATTTCATGACTTCAAGACCGCCAGGGAAAATATTTCACCCGTCGCTGACCCCTGTCGGCACTGCGGATGGCGTACACATCACATACGTATGCTATGTCTCCAACTAAAAGTATTGCAAGAACATTCGACATTCTGGCGCCGTCTCAAGCAACATCCGATATTTGCCGCCAGCCTACTTTTCCTTCGCCTCTCCTTTGCAGCCAAGCAAAGGAGGCAACACCGACGCGTCACCAAAAACCGCATAAATAAGTAGGTAGTAGGTGTCATTGTTGTTGTTGTTGTTGTTGTTGTTGTTGTTGTTGTTGTTGTTGTTGTCGTCACATCAAAAACCGTTCCGATCTCTCTACCCAGCACCTTCGTATGTCCGTACTGATCCAGCACTCGACGCGGTCGATTCCCGTGGTCACAGGTTAACTTACCCTAAAAAGGTACACTCGAATAACTGGCCCCGAGGGGTCCGCGAGTCAATAGAAATCAACGACAGATATTCTAGAGTCCTCCTCTGCGCGCTATGCGAGGAAGCAACTGAGACTAGGAGTCAACATCACGGGCCGGAGAGAAAGAGGTACAATCCCCTGGTTCAATCTTCTTGGTGCGTCACAACGCTAGCAGAGACAAGGCTATCTGGCACA